CAATCCCATACACCAACGAAACAATACAATCCCATACAACAACGAAACAATACAATCCCATACAACAAAACAACAACGAAACAATACAATCACATACAACAACGAAACAATACAATCCCATACAACTAAACAACAACGAAACAATACAATCCCATACAACAAAACAACAACGAAACAATACAATCCCATATAACAAAACAACAACGAAACAATACAATCTCATACAACAAAACAACAATGAAACAATACTCTCAAAGCATACAACAAAACAATACAATCCCATACAATAACGAAACTAAACAAAAACACAACAAAGAAACAACACACTAAAACCGTGCGTAACCACCATAACTAATTTCCTGGTGTTGGGTGATAACAACAGCACTATAAAAAAACGTGCTGCATCTTACTCAATTTGAGATCACAACCTCTGTTTGTTATTATTTTGTTTTAAAAAAAATGTCCTTCACTTTTTGTTTTGATGGTCCAAGTAAGAAGCATTCTTCGCTTTATTAAGTTTTTTTTCTTTAAAAAAAATCTTTGTTTTATTTTAGTCTTCGTTTTATTTTAGCTTACTGTTTCTTAAAATCTCTTTTACTTTTATTTAATTTAATTAGAGCTACACCTTATTTTTGAAATATTGTTTCTTGTAATTAATCGTTAAAAACACAAGCAATTGCTCTTTATTTTGTCATGTCTCTTTGTGACATACATGTATGTGATGTATGTACATAGTACATTATATAAGCTTTGTGTCGCTTTTCTAAGATCTTTCCTGTAATTTGTCGGTTTTTGATGTTCCCACCCGTAAGTTATTTTTATATCCTTTACTTTTGACCTGTAATTTGTCATTTTTTAAAGTCCTTTATCTGTAATTTGTCGTTTTTTATTAAAGTCCTTTACCTGTAATTTGTCATTTTTTAAAGTGCTTTATTTGTAATTTTAACTGGTCTTTAAAAAAAATATTGTCTGTTTTACTGAATACAACCATACGATATCCTAGCTTTCTTTCGCTTGTTTGTTCTTTTAAAAAAAATTTTCCTCAGTTTTATTTTTTATTTTTGTAAAAGTTTTAAGACCCTCGTAAAACCAAATAGGTCCTACATGTAATATAAATTCCGTTTCTCAGGTAGCCTACACCCTGAAGAAACACTTTAGCACAATACATCAACATAATTTTGAAATCCACAGCAGTTACTAGAAAAATGATCAAAGTCGCCAGATCAACATTATTGATACGGATGTTTTGGATTAGCATGGAAGTGGAAGAGCATTGGTTTTACACCCCAACAACACTCTTCGGTTAAATATTTAAAAAGGCGGGACCTCTGAATTTAACGTCCGTCACCGATAGGACCAAGCCGTTAGGCTGAGAACCGTGAACACTCCGCCACAAGTCAAGAAGACCCGACTTCCAGAGCGCCCGGTCTGGGGATCGACACCGAGTCCTCCGTTCTGTAGCCCAGCACGACACCAACTGAACCACCGGTTCCCCCGACATAGCAGGTTCGTACAGTAGGTCTTCGGTTCGCTCCCAGGAAGGGGCAAAATGAACAAAGAGCTCGCTTACTTGCACATTTTTAGTTTTCTGTGTTGACAGGGGCGTTTTACCCATACACTAGCAGATTTTTTGTTTTCTCTCAAACAAAACATCAAAAACTGACTTAGACTTAGACCATAGCGTTACAAATGACTGTGACAAAATGCTGAGTGAGGATGTTCTAGAACAAATCTGTGGCAACACGACAATAAGAGTAGCATGTCGCATTTTGACAGTAGCCTACGACACTATGGGTATTCTAGGAATATATAGTTTTTTCTGGTTCTACTAAGTTTGTTAGTGTTTGAGTGCTTAATCGGCTGCTCGCACTGTATGCTTCCCGGGAAGCTGAGAATGTTTCGGAGTGTTCTATGGTCTGCTGGGGTAATAATATAGTGTAAAGCGCATAGAGCCTGCTGTTGAGCGGGGATATGCGCTATAAAGGTCGTATAAATGCTGAAGATTATAAGTTGCAAATGAGTAACAAACACACAAAAAATGAGGAAAGGTAAGGACGACAGATGCTCGACAGGAAAGAAAGAGCAAACCACACCAGAGCACCCACTAACCACCCACACATAGGTCATTTAAAATAATTTTTTAGTAGAAGTTTTACGGCGCTCCCAACTGCATGAGGTCATATGAGCGCCAGAAGATTAGAGGTGATACAAGAGAGTAGCAAACATAAAAAAGAAAAAGAGGGAGATAAGGATGATAGATGTTTGACAGGAAAGAAGGAGCACCCACTAACCACCCACACAAAATAGGTCACACTTTTTGACCGTAGATTCCAAAACAGAATTCAGCGACAACAACAAGAAGAAATAAACAATGTGGTAACGTTTAATGAATCACTCGTATCAGACGTTTGATAAAAAAGACAACACAACAAGTTGAAACCCTTGAAACTTTCACAGCGTAAATTAAATAACAACTTTCATTTTAAAGAAGTTCAAACCCCTCCCCCCCCTCCCAGCTAGGTGGTACCAACTGAGAGGGCTATAGTATGAGCACAGTAGTACACTTTACAGTAAAGGCGCGGTGGTATCACAATGAAGTCATTCCACAATCAAACTAGTTTCTTTTCTTGATGAGTGAAGTCTTGTACTCTTGTACTTCAGCAGACTCCGAGAAACAGCATCAGACTGTCTTCATCACCATATTGGATCGAAAAGAAGTGAGCATCTCAGTAGTTTTGTAGCGCAAGGACTGATGGGAGAAATGTTCCCCCAATTCACCGGCACATTTACAAACCCTCCCACTCCCGTACACACAGCGAAGGGCAGAAATAAAACCTGGGAAAACTGACAGCTGTGATCTTTCTTTCCAACCACTCTCTTGCTCAGACTCCTGTCCTACCCTCTCCCTCTACAAAGTTCTCGCCTCATCAAAATATACACGTAAAACAAAATTACGCTCTTCATTTGAAACCATCATAAGTCTCTCAAACAACCAAAAAATTAACACGCTAAAACAACAACAAAAGACTTGGGTTAAAGCTCGCGCTATTCTTTTTTATCTTTCGTATCCTCCTTGTAGTGCAAAAACACAAAACTGAGCAGGAAAACTCCGAGCATCATGGAGAAAGCCGAGGCGTAGTACGGGAACGCTGACGGGATGAAGCGCTCGTACTGCGTGTGTTCTAGCGGCCGCACCGACACCTGGGGGGAGAGAGATACACAACATACATCAGCCTCTTTAGTTTTTGTATAGGTAAGAGTTCTACGGCACTTGCAACACAACAAGGCCATATGAGCGACGAAGAATTTAGCTTTAGTAAGAGTTGTACGGCACTTGCAACACAATAAAAGTAAAAAAAGTGACAAAGTTTTTAGCTTTAGTAAGAGTTTTACGGCACTTACAACATACACAAAAAGGTCATGTAAACGCCCAAGATTAAAGGTGTTACAAGAGAGTAACAAATATAAAAAAGAAGGAGGAGAGAAAAGGACGATGGATGTTTGATAGGAAAGGCAAACCATACCAGAGCACCCGCCAACCACCCAAGGAGAGAGAGAGATACACATCAGCGTCTTTAGTTTTAGTAAGAGTAAGAGTTTTACGGCACTTGCAACACACCAAGGTCATAGAAGTGACGAAGTTTAGAGGCGTTACAAAAGAGTAACACACAAAAAAGAAGGAGGGGAGATCAGGACGACAGACGGTTCATAGGAAAAGGAGCAAACCACACCTGAACACCAGCCAACCACCCACTCACACCTTTGGGAATGGCCTAAAGACACTTTAAGCAGTAGCACTTTGTTTTAGTAAGACTTTATGACACCTGCAACACAACAAGGTCATATAAGTGCTGAAGATTAGAGGTGTCACAAGAGAGTAACAAACACAACAAGGTCATATAAGTGCTGAAGATTAGAGGTGTCACAAGAGAGTAACAAACACAACAAGGTCATATAAGTGTGCTGAAGATTAGAGGTGTCACAAGAGAGTAACAAACACAACAAGGTCATATAAGTGCTGAAGATTAGAGGTGTTACAAGAGAGTAACAAACATAAAAAAGAAGGAGGAGAGATCAGGAGGAGAGATCAGGAGGAGAGATCAGGACGATAGATGTTTGATAGGAAAGAAGGAGCAAACCACACCAGAGCACCTGCCAACATCCACTCAGTAGCACAGCCCTGATGGTGGGTGGGGTGGGGGGGTGGGGAGGAGGAGGAAAGACCAGAGTGAATTACTCACCTGTGTGGCGCTGTAGAGCCTGGTGTAGCCCACTCTGTTGTAGTCCACCTTGAACTGGTAGACTCCGTACACGTCCGGCAGCTTGAACGTGGTGCTGAACTTGCCGTCTGCAACCACAACCAACAACGATGATGAACAATTGCTAAGAAACACCCCCACCCCCCCCCCCTTCAGAATATGTGAGGCAGCGTGGTGAAATCAGGCGCTTGTCAAAACAAAGAAATCGGAGAAACAGGTCTTTTTTTGCCAGTTTGGAAATTTTTATCAAATTTTTATTTTTTTGGCTTGACCTCTTTTAGGTCCATATAAAAACACATTTCCAGGTGAATTGTACTGAAAAACACTTAATTAAAGGCATAAAATATGCTATTTTTTTTAGGTTTAAAAGACTCTTTTGGCTATAGGAGTTACCAAACTTTGGCAGCCATTTTCTCGCTAATTTCACCAATAAAACCAGGCGCCCTCACTTCCTTCAATCGCAAATATTTTGAATTCTATTCAAGGTAAATTGATATTTATTTCATTAGAAGCAAGGCGAATAAATCAGCTTTCAGATAATACTAATAACTCCACATGCCCAAAAATGGACAAGCGCCTGATTCTACCACGGCATCACACATATGCACACACTTCATCACAGATACAGGGAGAGAAATTTTCTTTAGTTTTTGCTTTTTTTATGTAAATATATCTGTTGCTTTCTTGAAACAAGGATACCTATATATATATTATTTATAAACAAATTTTGTGCCAATGTTTCATTCATAATTTCCACTTGCTTAACTGGCATTATATTAAGATATGATGCCAGAGGCCTTTCAAGTGATCTTTTCTGACATAAATAAAACTTGTCTTTACTTCAAACACACAACATTTTTTTAATGTTCCCGTTGATATATGGCGCATACCCCCACTGCAAAAAAAACAAACCTCACTCTTGAAACTAAACAATATATTATTATCCTGACCTTCTAAAACATACTTAGCTTCCTGGGAAGCAATAAAACAATGTAAAAAATAAAAATCCCCAACACAGCGAGCGGAGACACGGTGACCTACCTCTGGCCTTGAGGGTGGTGCGCACGAATGGGTCAATTCGCACAAACTCCAGCTGGACGTCATCGGCTTTGAACGGCTTCCACTGACCGTTGACCAGCTCCTCAATCACCACAGAGTAGTCCTGTAGGCAAACGGGAAATAACACATTGTCAGCAAGAGAAATAACACATTGTCAGTGTATGGGTGTACAAAATTGTCAGCATATGGGTATAACACATTGTCAGTGTATGGTATAACACATTGTCAGTGTATGGTATAACACATTGTCAGTGTATGGTATAACACATTGTCAGTGTATGGTATAACACATTGTCAGTGTATGGTATAACACATTGTCAGTGTATGGTATAACACATTGTCAACGTATGGTATAACACATTGTCAGTGTATGGTATAACACATTGTCAGTGTATGGGTATAACACATTGTCAGTGTATGGTATAACACATTGTCAGTGTATGGGTATAACACATTGTCAGTGTATGGTATAACACATTGTCAGTGTCAACGTATGGTATAACACATTGTCAGTGTATGGTATAACACATTGTCAGTGTATGGTATAACACATTGTCAACGTATGGGTATAACACATTGTCAGTGTATGGGTATAAAAGATTCCAGGCCGAAGCGCTAGAACTTAGATGGCCGCTGGATCGGAAAAGTAAAGTAAAGCATAAAATATTGTCAGAGTATGAGTACAACACATTGACAGTACATATAGGTCAAACACTTGGTCATTACGACAGACTCTCACATGGAGAAGATGAGACTTCAATGTGTTATTCCACTGTTACAAGAGGTTGTGCCAGCTGCTGTTTCATGTGCCAATTGTGGCGTTGGTGGCTTAGTGGTAGGGCTACCGGACTCGTAATCGTGAGGTTGCGGGGCCGGGGTTAGAGCCGTGGGCCTGACGTTGTGTCCTTGGGAAAGGCACTTTACACGAATTTTTCTCACTTCATCCAGGTGGGAATGGGTACACGGCCATACACAGCAAAAGATCTTGTCAGTGTGTTAGTGTTTCAGCGCCTACAAATGGCCGCTTGCATTCTATGCTTCCCAGGAAGTTGAGGTTGTTTCAGAAAACTCTCAGGTCTGTTTGGGTAATAGTACAGAATGTGAAGTGCATAAAACTTGCTGTTGAGCGGGGATAGGTGCTATACAAATGCTATCTATTATTATTACTATTAATTACTCCCCCCCCCCCCCCCCCCTTTCTTTCCCGCCTCCTCAAACAACCGCGGTTTACGACATAGACACGGGGGGACACATGACACAGACGGACTCACCACGTCCTGGAAGACGGTGTACGAAGGAGGCGGGACCTTCTCCCCCTTCAGATGGTGTGACACCTTCCCAACACGCAGCACTCCCTTGTCCCGGAACGTCCACTGGGAAAGGCTCAAGGCTAGATCTTGGTTGCCAGACTTCTCAAATCTGCAAAGTTAGAGCGACAGTGGCTAAGTAAGCGGTGAGTACAGACTCAAGTAATGTCAAGCAAGTGTCGGTGACACGGGGTATAGGTGGGTGGTCACTGCCCTACTCGGATCAATAAAAGAGTAATTTATTATTTATTATTATTATTATATCCTGACCTCCAATCTCTGTTCTTGACCATCAAGTATTTTCTTCTACTAAAGACTTTGTTCACTGGTGATCAGAGAGTTTTGAGCACGACCATTTTATTAAGTATTTTCATTTTATGGTACCAATACCCGGTACACATGTCTCTGAAACGCAAAATATTTCTTTGTCAAATAGAAACAATACGAAAATGAAAAACACATATAATCAATGAAAATGATGCATAAAACTGAAGGGAGTTGGTTCTTGCAATTTTATCAGGGACATCACTTGAGTAATCGTGAACTGATATTTAATTTTGAGGCGTCGTGTGACAAAACTATGTGGTTGCTTTTAAGCACAACGGGGCTATCCCAAAAAATGCTGTATTGACAAAATCAAAGTTAAAGTTCTTGCAACTTGTTTAGCTTCTTTAAAAGACAAGGAGAGTTTTCTCTGTAACCAAACAAATATACACATCACTGAAACCAAACTTCTCCTATAGGTAGGGCAATGCCCACTTTTGGTGTAAGTCAAGATTTTTGGAAACCCCAGAAAATCTGGATTAGCCCGCTTGTCCTTAAAGCGACCATGTATAAAAAAATAAGGCATCCTCACCTCTTCCCTCCGTTTGCCTTCTGTACGCTGGACTGGAAGAACTGGTCGCTGAAGAAGTCGAGGGATCCCACAAACACCACGCGGGCGTTGTTCCTGGCCTGGAGGGCTGCCACCAGCAGGGTGCTTGAACCCACAGCCATGGGGAACTGTTGGGGGGGGGGGAGAGACAGCCACAGTCACAGCGTGTCAGTTACCGCAGAAAGCAAACAGAGGCACTGTCCAGACACAGGAGAACTCTCAGCACAGAGGGGAGACGTCCGACGAACACAGACAGTCACCAAAGAGAGAGACAACTTTAGTTTTAGTCTTAGTAAGTGTTTTACGACACTTGCAACGCAATAAGGTCATATAAGTGCCGAAGAATAGATTACGTGTTACATGAGAGTAACATACACGAAAATAGAAGGAGGGGAGATAAGGACGACAGATGTTTAATAGGAAAGAAGGAGCAAACCACACCAGAGCACCCGCCAACCATCCACACAGCCAGTCGCAGCGTGTCAGTTATCAGTCAACAAACACAGCCACTTTTAGTTTAGTTTACTAAAACAGAACAACTCTTTAGAACAGGCAAACAGTCAATTAACCCTATCCGTATGTCGTGTTTTACTATCGTATCCATACCACGTAGGGAACTCTGTGCCACCACTTTCCAAAACAGAAATTTACTTGCTAATCTGATCCGTACACTTTGCATAGCAGTCTGTCAAAATGATTTTTTGAGAAATACTGAAAGTTTCAAAGAGATCTTCGAACTAGAAGTATTCTAAAATGAGAAGAATACAACCCCTGGGGGTACAAAATGACCCCAGGGCATACGGATAGGGCTAAACAGTGAAAATGTGACTTCTTAAGCTCACTCTTTGTTATGAACTATTTGTCATGAACTGTTTTCCCCGTTATCAAAAATGGAGATAGGGCAAGACAGCACTGAGGTCGCGTCACGAGTGGGGTGATCATGATAAGCCAGGCGACTCACCTCATCAATCTTCTCATCAGGCTTGTAGGAGTACGCGGTGGACGAGGCCCTGAGCAGACTCAGCACCAGGGGGTTGTCGGGGTCGCTCACCATGCTACACACGACACAAGGAGGAAACAACAAGCCCAGCGTCAGTGACAGAGACTTTTCACACAGCGTGTCATCAGACCTTTGTCTCACTGGTCATTAGTGAGACGTGCTGACAAAATGAGTTACTTCTCGTAACCCATGAGTGGAGACGTCAGCCGAAATTAGACAAATCAAATTTGTACATTTTTCATTAAGGGGATGCCACTTTTTCTTCAAGTTAAACATGTCTTTTATCATTTCATATAATAAATAGTACAAACCCAACCTATACATTTCATGTGTCAATAAGGCTAAAATCCGAGACCTCACTCATTTTGTCAGCACACCTCACGTTTTATCCTAACAGTGCTTCCAGCGGCTCTTAGAAGCCACATTATCTTTTTATTAAAAAAAAGCTTTTGAAAGATGGTTCAAATTATCGAAAGTCTGCACTTATGGCACATTAACTTCTCGTGTCAAAAAGCAACAGCAGCCATTAGATCTCAATACATTTGTTTGTTTTAGTAAGAGTTTTACAGCGCTCGCAACTGCATAAGGTCATATGAGCACCAGAAGATTAGAGGAGTTACAAGAGAGAAACAACCATAAAAAAGAAGAAGGGGAGATCAGGACGATAGATGTTTGATAGGATAGAAGAAGCAAACCACACCAGAGCACCTGCCAACCACCCAAGAAAAGTTCTTTAGAAAAGTTCTTTATTAAGGATTTCCGTCCTCTGCTGAGATGTACCCCACCCCCACCCAGCCTGGGTTGACCCTGACAGGCAAAGTCACAGAGGTCTGCCCCCTAACTGATCGAAATCGAGTCCATGGCGGCATATATAAACAATAAAACAAATTTATAGAAACCAATAAAACAAATTAAAATCCAAACAACTAAAAAAACCCCCCTCAAACCCACCAAAAGCAAACAATAGCTTCTACGAAGAGCTTACCCGACACCGCGGAAGAGAAGCGGGGCAGGGACCTTGTCTCCGACAATCATTGGGGCTTTCATCAGGTTGTCGCTGTCAGCCACGATCAGAGTGTGCTGCCACACAGGAGAAATACAACACACGTGATACATGTCGTTGTTAGCGATCCAGTCACACACGATACATAACAAACTAGGAATGTACAACACACATATATAACATGATACATAACAAACCAGGAATGTACAACACACATATATAACATGATACATAACAACTCAGGAATGTACTGAGCCCCCACAGACGCCACCGTTAAATCATCAACAAAAACTACCACTGTCCCCCAAATCAAACACATCAGTGAGACAAAACAAGGGATACAATTCTTTCTTTTTCTTTTTCATTATCTGTTGCCGTTAAGTGGGGAGGGGGGCTACAAAAAAACCTATCAAATGTCACCTTTCCATTATCAGCAAAAAATACCACATTGATACAAAGGCTATCAAATGTCAGCTTTCTATCATCAGAAAAAAAATAAATCACATTGAGACAAAGCCTATTAAATGTCAGCTTTCTATTATCAGCAAAAAATACCACACCGAGACAAAAGCCTATCAAAAGTCACCTTTCCATCATCAGCAAAAAATACCACATTGAGAAAAAGGCAGGGCTACAAAAAGCCTATCAAATGTCACCTTTCCGTCATCAGCCACATCGTAGTTGAGGTGGTCAATGACAGCGCTCTTCTCCTCGTCAAACTCCACGCCACACTCCGTGGCCAGCTCCCTCATTGGGTCACCTGGGAGGAATTTAGTTGTTAGTTTTTAGTAGAGGTTTTACGGCGCTCGCAACTGCATAAGGTCATATGAGCGCCAAGGGGTGGAGGTCAACAGAGAAGTCCTTACAGGGAATCAGACTTACTCTGCTCACCTCTCTAGCCTCAACAGCACAAAGTCTGCTTCGACTATCAAGGCACCCCGGAAATAGTGGGTCACGAGAGTGTCTAATGGGTACGACACTACACAGTATAATATATTCTTTCAAATACTAGTTTTCCAACTGTCAGCGAGCAAGGGGCTGGTTCACACAGCAAAACATGAGTTTCACTTACAAGTTTTAGTTAAGTTTTAGTAAGAGATTTTCCACACTAGCAACACAATAAGGTCACCTATGTGCCCAAGATTAGATGTGTTACATGGACGAAACAACCACAAAAAAAAAGCAGCAGAGATTTATAAGGACAATAGACATTTGATAGGAAGGAAGGAGCAAACTACACCAGATCCACCTGTAACCACCCACTCAGAACAGCTGTCCCAACCAGTCAAGTATTTACAAAAAGTCGAACCTCAGAAAACTTTTTCACAAATCAAATAAGTAATCTATACGAAAACAAGCATCAATCCATTCCTAACTCAATCTGGTCCAGATATTTTAAAAAAACGAAAAATGAAGTTTTGTAGCACTAAAACGACACTTAAAAACCAGTCTGAATTTTACTCAGACCAAGTGTCCAGTTATCCAAAAGAAAAGATGATGCACTCACCGATGTCTGAGCTTGCTGCAATGAGCACATTGCCTCCTCCATCAATGAAGTTGGTGATAGAAGCTACATCGATGGACCCTCCAAACTCTGAGAACAAACAGGTTGTACAATTATTTCTCAAAGTAAAACAAACTTGAGACTGTCTTCTACAGGTTTGTTGTTCAAGTTAAGAAATTGGATTTGTTGCTTCTACTATTTTTTTGGTCACTACCTTTAGTTAGTTATTCCTGGAAGAGCCCACAGCTAGACAGATTGTGGATTAACTCTTTTCTATCTCCTAGGGGGGGTAAATCCACTATAACAGGGCCCTCTTTTGGTACGAAAGTGACAAAACCTCACTAAATTGGTCATTAAATGAAAACCAGTGAACCTATTTTGATAGTTCTTCATCTACTGAATGAATTCCGGATTTTAAAAAAATTTGACGTTGAAGTCGTCATAAAGGAATGTGCCCAAGCCGCTGCCTTCGGCTCACCAGTTCCGACTGCAAGCCGAGGGGGAGCTGTTTGCCAGAGGCACAGAGCTGATCATTCACAATCATTCTGCTTTAAACAAGGCGTTGTGAATACATGCTCAATTATAAATGTCATGGGAGACAAGATCTTGTATCACTTCTGGGCTGTACACACACACACACTGTAATATACAGTTAGAGATGAATGACAAAATGTCGGACAAACCTTCCACTGACGGAGAGAAAAGAACCAGGTTGTCGTACAAGAATTCTCCATACTTGACGAGGGCCAGAGCGGAGTCATCGGCAGTCTTGAAGGTGAGGTCGAAGCCTTGTTCTGAGGAACATAAAAACAAACTCTTTAGTTTTTGTTTTGTTTTAGTAGAGGTTTTACTGCGCTTGCAACTGCATAGGTCATATATGAGCGTCACCTCTTTATTTTAGTTTTAGTAGCTAAAAACGAAAGTACAAAGCCGGAAATGGCGGAAAATAGGTTCAACAATCGCGAAGTGCACGCGAACCGGCGACACCACTCTAGAATCTAGATTTAGAATCTAGATATCTAGATCTAGATTCTAGATCTAGATCTACATCTAGGCTGATATCAGTAAAGTTTTAACTCGATTAATCTATATGCAAGGATTTCCGTAAAGAGCAACCACCCCAACAAATAATATTCTAAGAATCTAAACTACTAACCCTGGCGCAACCGCGTATCCCAAACCCTAACCCACCCTCTAATTCTAGATTCTACCTTGTTTCATAGAGGTCGCTAGATCTAGTTACGGAATTCCTCCCGATTACATTCCCTAAATAGGAATATAGGCGAATAATAATTGGGGGGACTAGAGATCTAGATCTTGCCTACCGAAAAGCCCCGATCTATGATGGACCAGGGCCAGGTGCCAGCCACACTACTACAGGTGGTGTTAATGTGGGCAGGCCCACCGAAAAAACAGGCTACAGGATTTTAAAAAAAAGCCTCAAATACTTAAATGCAGAAGACTAGAAAGTGCGGTGTAAAATTTGGCATTCAACAAACGCAAGCACAGATTGGTTAAGAGACTCGAGATTGACACACACACACTTCACTGTCACGACTGTGCTCGCTGCTGAGCTGTGACGTGTCATGAGAAAAACACATTGCACACACCCCGGTTCACATGCAGCTAAAATCTCACAAAGACATTCGCTCACCCCTCAGAGAACGGAAAAACACAGAGTGAGTCTCCCTGATTGACCAGTTGTCTACCAAAACCAAAGTCCTTTTGCCTGATGAGGCATAGCAGACTGCTACAAAGCAGAGGAGTGCGGCAAGCTTCAGAGCAGCCATGATTTTTTCGATAGAATGAAACCCGAAATGATTTAATATCGATACCAAGCATTTGGTGCATTGTCGAAAACCCTACGATTATAACAATAGCCTAATTACATGTTATACAATAAACATTTTAATCTTTGTATGCCATGAGCTATGGCATTGACGAAAGCTACAATCTTTGGTTTTATTTGAGATTGTCTGTCACAGAGGTTTTTTCCTCAGAACCATTTTAATATTGATATTAATTGATTATTGATAGTATTATAGATCTACATCTTGGCTTGAAGACCATCAACAGAAAAATACGCAAACTACGGCAAAAAATGTTTTATTGAAACGTGCCAACGATCCATTGATGAAAAGGTGCGAGCGGTGGATGTGAATTAACTTAAGTTGAGCGTAGTAGGGATAAGAGGACAAATAGTTGGTCCAACAAACGACTTGAATTGCGACCCCCCCCCCCCAGTTTACAGCAGGGTTTTGTCAATA